TTCCTCTCTCCATAAATGCATGTTGTGAGAGTTTAATTCCTTCTCATGTAAATAGCGATTCGTCGCTAAATATTACACGAAAAGGAAATCTGGGATCTCGATCTACTTTTAACTACTACTTTTTTCTACTTAAAAAGTTTTCGCAAAATCTCCTTCTTAGAGGATAATTTTCTTCTCTCAAATGTTGCACGGGGGTGTAATAAAATGCCTGCAATTTTTCTTCTTTCAATATCCTTTGTATAGTTGAATATAATAAATCTTATTCTCGAGCAATAATCCGAATACAAAAAGAATAATTCGTGCTTTTGAACAAAAAGCACTGAAATAAGTATTCGGATTATTGCTTGAGAGCACGTTTTATCATATTCAACTATACAGAGGCTATTGAAAGAAAAAAAATTGCACGGATTTCATTACATCCCCGTGTAACATTTATAAAAAGAAGATTATCCTTTAAGAGGGAGATTTTACGAAAACTTTTTAAGAAAAGTAGATCGAGATCCCAGATTTCCTTTTCGTGTAATATTTAGTGACGAATCGTTATTTACACAAGAAAGAATATTAAATTCTCACAACATGCATTTATGGAGTGAAAAAAAATCCGAAAGTTACACAATTGAGAAACTTTCAAACACGTTGGAAGACTAGATTAATATCTGATCGGGAATTATGGGAACTGAAATTAGATCCCGTTATTTTCCCAGATATTTTAAACAGCGTAACATACGTCGAACTTTTAAGAAATAATTTGCTAGATTTTTTAAAAGATATTCCAGTACTAGAGAGGAACAAACTAATTTTTCAGAAAGACTGCGCTGGACCACATAATACCAGAATGGGATCCAATTTTGGAAAATAAAGTTGTATGCTTTAAAAATTATTTTTATATATTACATATTGAATTAAAAGAATTTATAATATGGACACAAGATTTTAATCATAAATAATGTTGTTAAAAATTAATAAAAATGCTTGTAAAAGAAGTAGGAAGGAAATGCTCTGTGATTGGCTGAGACCATACATGACGTCAGAATTCGATACTTTCAAACATTTTACGAGATAATATATCGGTTGATTTTTTTGAAATAATTACAATTATTATTTATATTTGCAATATCGGTATTATGTCTCGAAAAAATCAAATCAGGTTCGTTCAAGCATAGTCGGATAACTTACCTAAAGTAACTGTATTTCCGATAATTTTGGATTTTTTTTCCCCAAAGCGAAGTGTTCAATATTGTAGAAACTCGCGGTGTAAAATCTAAAGGTAAGTATGTGCAACATATTATATGTATTCATCAAATAGATATGCAGGTTATATAATGAAATGGCATATATTAAATAATAACATACTTATTTATTTCATACAGTGAAATTCTAACCTTATATTCTAACTTTATTATGTACTCTATTTTGCAAATATAAATATTTTAGAGCTAAAGGTGAAAAACTACGGAGATTCTGCAGTTGGATTTGTAAAAATTAAAGCAAGAAGGCTGCTTCTGTTACATTCAAGGGAAAGTGTGTCCCGAGCATAGAGTCAATAGCAAACTGTATTCGATATCAATGCTCGTCGACGAGGAAAATGAAAAAGTTGAATATATTAAATGCGATGACTGTGCAACTTCAGCAGGTATATTGAAATTAATGTTAATAAGAAATAGTAAATTATATATTAACTGTGCAATGTTATGGTTTCAGGTGGTTGTAAACATATCGTATTTATTATGTGGGTTCATCATCGAAGCGAAGAGCCTGAACCGACTGTTATTACAAAACACATTAGTTTCCTTATTGGAAAAAATCTCGGCTAGCACAAATTGGAGCTAATGTGAAAAGTATGAGAGCAAAAGATTTATTACCATTAAAGCCTGTTTCAGTCCTTCCAAACAATGATGGATTTTTGCAGATCCTATTGCGCGAAATGGAAAAGATAAAATTAAAAGTAATATAAAAGGCTCTGTAGTAATAAGCAAAGGTAGTATAAAAGAAGGGCAACGAGCCAATGACGCAAATAAAAAATTATAATTCAGCTAAGAAAACTTAATACAAAAACATTTAAAATACAATAAAATGAAACAAACGTTTCAACTCCAATTGAGTCATTTTCAATGCCATCATACAATAATATAAATGTCGTTCTAAATTGAAAATTAATACATAATCTTACAATATTCTTAAAATTAACAAATAATTCTTTCCTCTTTCGGTGTAATACGCTGTGAGTCATTTTTATCAAGAATTAACAAAGTCATAAGAAAGTTCTGGAAAAGTAACCGTATACAAAAATAATTAATATTAATCATATAAAAATTAAAAATATGATGATATACCTTAGTAAATCTGTTAAAAGTCCCATAATACACAACAAGAAAAAAAA